AAGATATTCCCAGAAAAAAAGAACCTAAAAGAGTTTGTAAAAAAACAAGACCAGCATTGCAGGAAACACTGAGAGCCGTCCTTCTTACAGAGGTGCCACAGAAAACAGGATAGACCAAAATAAATAGCAACAACATCAAAAGAACTCCAACACAATGGTAACGATAAAACCATGCCTCTCAATAATCACACTAAATTGTGAATGGTTTAAATGCACCACTGAAGAGAAAAAGATTAGCAGATTGGATAAAAAAACCAAAATCCATCAATATGCTGTCTACAAGAGACACACCTGAAAAGTGAAGAGAAAGAAAGACTAAAAATAAAAGGGTGGGGGAAAAATATACCAAGCAAATGTCAACCAGAAAAAAGCAGGAGTAGCAATATTAGTCTCTGATAAAATAAATTTCAATGCAAAAACCAACACAAACTACAAGGAAGGTCACTACATAAGGCTTAAAGGGTCAATAGAACATGAGGACATGACAATAATAAATATCTATGCACCAAATGATAGACCTGCAAAATATATAAAACAAACATTAACAAAACTGAAAAAGGAAATAGACAACGTTACTATAGTAGCTGGAGACTTCAGTACACCACTCTCAAGACAAGATAGAACTACCAGAAAGAAACTCAATAGAGGTGCTGAAAAATTAAACCACACAATAAACCAACTCAATCTCACAGGCTAATATACCCAAAAAAAGCACAGTATACCTTCTTCAATGTGCATGGAATGTTCTCCAGAACAAATCATATCTTGGGCAACAAGGCAAGAATCAATGAATTAAAAAACATAGAAATAATATAAAGCATCTTCTTAGACCACAATGCCATAAAATTAGAAATTAATAACAAGAGGATAAAGAAGAAAAAAATCATACATTTGGAAGTTGAACAACAGCTTGCTTGAACATGAGTGTGTACAATTGAAAATAAAAAGTGAAATTAAAAAGTTTCTTGAAACAAATGACAATGAAAACACAACTTACCAAACCTCTGGGAAACAGCCAAAGCAGTACTCAATACTCTCTAAGAGAGATGCAAATCAAAACAACTATGAGATATCATCTCACCCCAGTCAGAATAGCAAAGTTTAACAGAGCAGCAAACAACAAAGGCTGGTGAAGTTGCAGAGAAACTGGAGTACGGCAGCGGGGCAGGGAATGAAGGAATTTTTCTTTTACTTTTCAAAGAGAAGAGTGATCTAGGGTGGAGGGGAGGGATGGGCAGGAAGAAAAATGCAACAATGAATGAATGGAAATCCAAAATCTCTGTAAACGTTCATTAAAATTAATAAAAGAAAATGTAAAAAAATTTGGTAATGACATGTCAGATAAGGAACTTATATCTAGAATTTATAAAATACTCAAGCACCACAACAAGATAAAGGTAAAAAATCCAATTGAAAAATGGGCACAAAATATGAATCAACACTTCACCAAAGAAGACTTTCAGATGGCAAACAAACACATGAAGAAATGTTCAAAATCCCTAGCTCTAAGAGAGATGCAAATGAAAACAACTATGAGAGATTATCTCACTCCAGTAGGAATAGCAAAATTTAACAGAACAGCAAACATCAAATGCTGGCGAGGTTGTGGAGAAACTGGAACCCCTATTCACTGTTGGTGGGAGTGCAGAATGGTGCAACCACTATGGAAGGCTGTATAGAGCTTTCTCAAAAAGCTGCAAATAGCAACCCCAGCAATTCCACTGCTGGGAATATGCCCTAGAGAAACCGCAACTGCCACCCAGCCAGACATACGCATACCCATGTTCATTGTGGCTTTGTTCACCCTAGCAAAGAGTTGAAAACAACCTAAGTGCCTATCAACAAATGAATGACTAGAGAAGCTCTGGTATATTCACACAATGGAATATTATGCTGCATTGAAAAACAAGGAACTCTAGGGGAGCTCTGGTGGCCTAGTGGCAAGGAGCTGCAACTACAATCCCAGAGGCGAACGGTTCGAATCCACCAGATGCTCTGCCGGGTAAGGAGGGACAATCTTCTCCTGGACCAGTCAGATCTGATTTGACGGTACACGCACACAAAAATAATACAAATAAAATAAAAAGAAAAAGAAAAACAAGGAACTCATGAAATATTATCCAAAATGGATGACCCTGGAGGACATTGTGCTTAGTGAAATACCTTAGTCACAAAAGGACAAATACTGCATAGGGCCACTGTTGTAAAATGGGACCAACCTCAGGGTTGAGGGGAAATTGAAAAAGAGGGAATAAATAATGTATAGAAGATTTCAAAAGGCAGCACGAGATGACAAAGCAAAATACTACAATGAAATGTGCAAGGAGTTGGAGTCAGAAAATCAAAAGGGCCAA